TTCTATTCTAAATATACTCTCAGTACAGATGGCAATATAGCAATATGTCTAATACATTGTAAGTTGTGAAACTGATAAATGAAATGCAGTCAGTAGTAAGGTTTACAAAATATTGTAAAGTTCAAATAAATCAAGACAAATGTGCACCAATGGAATTGTGAGAGCTTTGTAAATACTGAAATGATTAGTAAATACTGACAAATGACTCAAACCGGACACTCTTCAAGTTTTGATGATGTTTTAATTGTCTTCAGAATACGGACAGCTCTTATTGCTTGTCACAGTTGGTCAGAATGGTTATCAGATGTGCTTATTTTCCAAGCTGAAAGTATCAGGTTGTACCCAGCTTTGACAAAAAGCTGAGATGTCATTTTGGAAAATCATCCAATCATGTAGGAAGAGCTAGTCAGTAAGAAATGTGGTGTTTGACATTTGATTACTGAACATGTTAGCACCTTGATAACCACTGCAATGTAGTAAAAGCAAACAAGAAAGTATATTCCCTATTTTATTTATAAATCACAGTTTCCTCCTCATGGCAGAGGCTGGGTTACTCAGATGTGGCAGTGACTTAGAGGGGGGTAAGTCATTACTCATTTTTTCACTTGGCTTAAGCAATCTACACAGACTGTTTGATGAAGGTATATGATTAAAAATCAGAGACGGTAAAAACATTTCTAAAGTGCTAGAATATTAATGGGATATAATTAACTGGGTTAGCTTAGTATACTTCTAAGACTTACGCTAAAGTTTTTCAAAACCAGAATCTTAGTATTCCTTTATTTTTCCCACAAAACCTGTGTGGACAAATATAACATGACACCAAACTGAAAATTGCCAGATTACTGAATCCATTTTGGTGGGATGAATACCACCCATATTCTCATTTTTGGTAAACTAAATACATTGTTTCCTATTTCCTTAGTTGAATAGAGCACACTTACATATTACAGACATCACGGAGTAAAAACTGTGTCATTTCTGCAATGCATGCTAATAAATGGCTGCTATGCAACTAAACTGACCTCGATAATCTAAAACTGCATGTTGTTATGAAATGACAAAAAAAGTAATAGAGAAAACATCCAAGATTTTTACTGTGTCTAAATGATAAACTTTTATTATTGCAATTTTCCACAATACTCTCAATTTTTGTTATAACTCTAGGGACCATTTCAGTGGCCATCTATATTTTGTGGCTTTGAAATGTTCAAAAAAAAATCAAGTATTTGTTGGGCATGATGCTTGTTTATGCATATATGATCCATGTGTCATTGAGATTTCACATGCAGCCAGTCATTCTTAATTATGACCCTATTTTGCCAATGGTGACCTTTGAAACTACTAGCAAAAGTCCTGGACCTCTAAATATGGTTGCTGGTCTCACCTAAAACATTATAATGAGCATGTCTGAAAAAGGAGAGCATCAGAACTGGAAATGGACCCATACACCTGTTCTGTGAGTCCAAAAGTGCTCTGCCTTATTCCTGCAATCACAGGCAAGCTGGAATTACCAGAAATGTGCCAAGTCAAATCATCGCTCCAAAGCTTCCAACAGCAGTAATAATAATAAAGTTACATTCTTTCTATGGATACACCATACCTGGAAGAACAATTATGACTACTAGCGTCTGAGTGACACAAATCTGTTTGTGATAATATCTGGAATTCTACAGATATTAGGGGGAAATGATACTCAAATTAGGGGGTATTCAAAAAGCAGCAAAAGACAGCATTTTGTTTTATTATAATTTACATCACTCAGAGGTGTGTGTACACAATTTTCACATAATACACCAACAACTCTTTGTCCAAGTTTATCAGTGAGGTGAGGGAACCTGATTTTTGTCTGTGCAATAACTCCCAGATGATCTAGGTACTCAAGTTTAAAACCTGCACCTTATATGATCAAATACACGTTTTTGTTATCTGTGATTTTAAAAATTTCATGTTAATTGGATAGAAAATAACTATTAGTGTAGCTATAAGTAATGAACGTTACTGTTCATGAAAGATTAAGTTTAAAATTTCCTTGGAAGAAAAATGGTAGTAACAGTAAATACACATGAAGAATATATACACATATACCTGTTTCACACAGAAAGCTTTCTTTAAAAAAAAATACAAAAGCAACCAGTGCCGCATACTATGTAAACTCACAAAGTGTACTTTATACACAAACATTAAGCATAAATTAAAAAGTAGGACAATAGCAAAAACATTTTAAACATAGAAGAATTTGCACATAATTTTGTTAAATAAGAATAAATAATTTTATCACACAAATTCACATACAAGTTGCAAAAACAATAAATTACATTTTCTTTTCAGTGCTGCAACTTTATTTTGTTTGTGACTGACCCCTTAATTCTTAGTTTAATGGGATAAAACTGTTTCCACAGGAAGGCAAAGGGAGTTGAATGTGCTGAATGAAGTTTAATAATGGACTGATACTTCTAAAAAACACGGAAAGGCATACTTGAATCTTTTCTGCTCCAGTCTAGAAGAAATAAACATGGAGCTCTCCTGGAGTCCATTTGTAACTGAGATTAGAGTCTTAAAAACCTGAGCATTTTCAGATAAACTGTTTTTAAGAAAGTCTCCCCTATCATCCTGAATTGGAAACTTTCTAAAAATTCAAGATGCAACTGGGGGAAGGGGAAAGACACAGTGCTAAGTCAAGCTGGACTGAACTGGGTTGAGCTGTAGAGAAGTTTTACAGTGTCCACCATTCTTTACATGATTCATCATTCCATTTCTTTCAATTTCAAGTTCAAGTGTCTGCCATTTTTTTCTCAGAAAATCAGACATGCATTCTGTTAATTTAGTGAGAAACACAACAAATGAGTAGAGAAAACTTATTAAAAACATGGAATAGGAGTTTATTGGTTCTAAGCTTTTTAGGATTGTTTCAATGAGAAGTGCGCAACATCATTCCTTTGGGAAAAAAAGGTATCTTTGATAAATTTTATGAAGACTCTATAGAAGTAGAGCAGAATACAGTCATGTTCATTCTTCAATTTTTAAAAATTGTTGGGAATATCATCATGAAACATAAGAATGTTGGCAAATGTAAACAACTGGAGATGAATCATCTTCGACGTTAGAAAAAGTAAGATTGGATTCTCTGTTATCTTTGTGCAGCCCAAAAGGTTCGTGTTGTTTTGTTCAATTGTTGTTGGTGAGCAGCTCGACCAGATCAGCTTTGCTCCCTGCCCTGGGCATCTGGCTAGCTCCATCAAATACAGCCATCAGTCCTGCGTGGATCTTACACCACGTCTAAAACAAAGCAGTGTATAAAAATAAAATTGATAACTGCTGGCTTAGTGTACATTTGGCAAAATAATTTCTTAAGAGAATATCGTTTAGTAAAATTTTTAAAGAAAACTAAGCATTTAAAATAGCAAGAATAATTGCTTAATTACAAATGTGAAGTCTCGTATGGTTAAAAAAAAAAACTCCCATGAGTTCAGTGGAACTCAAAGCGATGATTCCTTAACATTATATGCAAATCTTTAGGCACCTTTGGCATTCTTATTGTCAAATTTTAATTTTTAAAAATGGTTTTGTGGTATTTCTCAAAGAAAAGGTAATCTGATAAAATTAACCACCTTGGGTTTTTCTGGTTTACAGGATGGGAGGGAAGCATTTATCAAAAACTCCAGATTTTTTAATGCATATAGTTATGTGTTAAAGCACTTCCTGGTACAATCAAATGCTTTAAATTTGGGAAAAAATTACTAGTGCAGTAAGAATAACATACTTGTAGTAATAATAATTGAGGAATTATTGCCTATGGTGTGGAAACAGTCTTATTTATATTAACCACAAACATTTAATCACATTGATGATATTAACCAATTTGAGATGTGATTAACCACCAAGTGATATTCAATATTCCTATTAAACCATGTCAGCAAGTACAGTTTATGACAGATCTATGGAATCTCTTAACACGAACACATGAAAACAAAGACAGCTTGAAGGCTTCCTTGTGAGAGACAGACCAGTGTTGGATGTGAGAGAAACTTCCTCGTTGTGTATTTTATATCTACCTGTGTTATACTCTATAAAATATCAGTTCGGACCCATAGACACAGAAAAAGCAACTGTGAAAATATAAATTGAAAACATGGTAAAATGGGTGTTTTTTCTTAAATTTCAAAGTAAGAAAACATAATTTTAGACTGTTGAATACTGATGACACACACACAATGCTACTTCTACATCCTCATTATTCATTAATTTGGCTAACTGTCTGAAAATACAGACAGTCACAAGTTAGAGTAAACGTACCCATCTATATATTTGAAGGACTAGATACACTGAGATCCTCCCTCAAAATTTCTCAGAAGATGCTTGCTGTTAAAATGATTTTTGACTTAAAATTTATCTCCTGTAGTCAGAAAGTATACTAAATCTTATTAAAACAGCAGCAAGTCCTTAATTTCCAGTAAAACATCCACAGCTCTTTCTGGAAACTAGCAGGAGTTGAAATAGCTGCAGACCTACTTTGGTCAAACTTTTTTAATAGAAATATATTTATATGTGTGTGCATATATATACTTATACATATATGTACATATATATGTAATAGAACCATGTGATATAAAGTGACATACCAAAGGAGAACATATTTACAAACAGTAAAAATAAGCGACTGTGTCATGTGTGACAATGATTATGATGCCTTTAAAGGCATTCTATAGAGGTAGGTGACAATGGGGGGTACTGTTCTGCCAAATTCAAATGTCCCCTGAATCAACATGGATTGTTGCTTCTTTTTCTTCTCCTTCTAGTAGGCCAGGGAACAGTCAGTAACTCCCAAGCGTTTCTGCATTGCAGGGTTACTGTTGTCACATGAACCAGTATACATCTTCATTTGGTCGCAGAGAGCAGATTCCACCCATGATTCAGCTCCTGTAGACATTGACACAGAAGCACGACTTTCTATGTATTAGGTAGAATTCTCGTTGTCCACTAATATATCGGTGATGAATCATAAGAACACAACCACAGGCTAACATTTCTTTAGCAAACATTGCTTAAAAGCAGAAGGCCTCTGAGACAGAAGGCATCCCTTTGCTAACTTCCGGTTTCCGTCCTGGCATTGCACTGTCCTGGTGTGCCAGCCTGTGTCACAGGTCCTAGAACAGGCAAGCCATGGGCCTGTCACCCACTGAAGCTGTGAAGTGTGTGATCCCACTTTATTGCTGCCATGGTTAGTGACAGAGTTGAGTTTTTGAGTGGACTTCTTGGGAACAAAAAAGCTGTAACGGACATCTAATGGTTTAGTTGGATCTGTTGCAAGGATCTGTACTATTAGAATTTCCTTGGTGGCTGAATATCCCATACCATGTAGAAAGTCATCTCGGTGGCTCCAACCACTGTAGTTCATGACTGTTCCATTGATGTCAATGATGGTCTCTGAAGTGGAGATCATGTACTTTCCATTGATAAGGTACTCACCGTTTTTCTTCTTCAAGGCTAAGTAGGCAGTGAATCTAGTCTGGTCTTTGGCTTTGAACTGTCGAACTTTGATATGAGTAGCCCCTTCTGGAATCCTCACAACATCAGTATAACCCTTACTGGTGGCAGGAATGATGCCCACAGAGGAGACAGAGTAGTTTGGAAAGGAGAGAAAACAAACAACACTTAATAAATGGGTGTACAAATAGAAATTCTCATAAAAAGTGTCCCAAACACAAATTTTAATGCATTGTAGAGAGTAGTTTAAACTTGGATTTAAACATGGATTTTTAGGGGGGAAGGCTGGCATGGTGGCATAGCGCGATAAACCCCTATCTGTGGTGTGAACATCCTATATTGGGTGCCAATTTGGGTCCCAGGTACTCTACTTCCAATATAGCTTCCTTTATGTGGCATAGAAAAGCAGAGGAGGCTGTCCCAGGTCCTTGGGTTGGTATGTCCACATGAAAGATTTGGAAAAAGTTCCTGGTTTGGGATCAGACCAACTCCAACCTTTGCAGCCACTTGGGGACTGAGCCAGGGAATGGGAGTTCTCTCTATCACTCTTTCTCTCTCTGTAACTCTGCCTTTCCAACATAAATAAGTATTTTAAAAAATTGGATTTTCTTATGACATAATACAGTTACAGTTAGGCTATTATATATATTTATTGGCATGTTAAAATTAGGGTAACATAAGAAATTGATTTTTATTTTTAAAATCCATAATAGCTGCATTAAAAAATTTGTACAACCATTGACATTTTTATCAATGCCTACCATCTTTACAAAGCAAGTGTAAATTCTTCCACACACTAGATATGTTATATAAAAACAAAATGACAAATCTGTCCTTATTAAAATTAAAGACATTTGTAATGTTTTCAAATTTGTCTGCAGAGTAGACTTACCTAAGGTTATTTTAAGCACTGCAAAACCACATACTATATCAATTAAATACTCATTTTCAGCACTGGTAATGTTTTTCCAGTATGTGCATCAATTTGTAAGCATGGATTTTAATCATGTCTTACATTAAAGACAGGATAGAGGCTCTGCCTCCATTTCTACTGGACATTTGAATTTTGCGTGATAGAGCATTCCTTGAAAAAAGATTCTATAGTTACTAATAAGATATTCCTGAGATAGTCAGATGAGGAAAAAAAATTTAGTGCTTGAGCAGTTTCATAAATGCTTAGTGTTCATGAGACACCTCAATAGACTGCATAATGCTTTACCATGAGTGACAAATAAAATAGGTCTCGCAAGACCCAGCAATTTCTTATAATTAGTCAAGGTGTAAATACCTACTTTCCATGAACCTCTGGTGAGTGCTAAGGCTGAAACAGTAACTAAACACTGATGAACTATAGCAGTGAGGAGTCATCTTTTGCCAGGATCTTTGCCTGTATAAGCCATACCATAAGACGACCAGCCACATGTTTCACTTCTCATTTTAGATGATAAGTAAATAGAAAAACTCACAGAGGCTTCAAAGTCAAGATTGGAATGTTGGAGACAATTGCTCATCTTATAAACCAAGCATACCCAGTGATGATAAAGGTATTTGATCATGTTCACTCAAGAGCTCATTAGTGGCAGTGTGAGGCTTAACTGCCAAACCTCTCTATCCCAACCTGTGACTCGTTCACTGAGCTCCCATGCATGAGATCTTATACCACCAGCTGGGTTTTATAGCAGTTTTATGGACTAAGTTCTGGTCGCATGCCGTGCTTAAGTGTTAACAAGCAGGGAAGCTATAGAAAGGATAAGGGGTAAAATGAATGAAAGGCAATTGAATAGGGGAAGAGAACTTTTCAATTTTTAATACTAATCCTTACAGCTTGTCTCATAAGGATAAAAGTCATTGAAAATATCAACACTGCAGTGGATCCTCAAATTGAGTTTCTTGAAACAACAATAAGTCTGAAGCTAGTGTCCTGATTTCTCAGCCCCTCAGTAAAAAATGACTATATTCCTGGTTCCTTTTCTCTATACCTTTGATGGTACCATTTCAACTCCAGACAATAACTGGCTCCATGGCTACCACAGATGAATCCCATTGCTTTCACAGAGCTACTATAAAGGACAGTCGGTAAGTCAAAGGACCTGATTTTGTTCAGGGCTATCTGCACAGGACCAGTAACAGTGCCCGTCATACAGGAACAACTTTGTTTATATATATTGAACATGCACTTATGGAAGCAACACTTCAGTGGAGGCTGTCAGACCCTCACTCAAAAAAACACCTCAAAGTTTCTGATGGTATTGATTGATAAAAACTATGAAAAGGAGAGCATAATAAGAAAGTGGAATGCAACGATGGAGATGGGAAAGATATTCTTCTGTTCATTCAGAATTGCCATTAGTGGGGGTGACACTTATCTGGGACCCAAAGGAACTCCAAAGGCAACACTGATTATTAATTAAGGGAAAGTGAGCCAGAAAGAGGACACAGCATGCATCTGACTGTGGCTATGTGTGAGGGGCAGCAGGTCATCCAGTGTGGTAAAGTGAGGGAAGAGAGAGGGACATGTAAAGACACACAGGACAGGGTAGTGGAAAATATTTCTAGTACTTCCTGAGTTATGAAACTGTCTTGGTTGTTGCCTCTAAGTGAGATGGAGGCCATTGGAGTGCACTGAGCCAAGACCTAATTCAGATAAGCAGTGATAACTCTCCTTGCTGTTGACAGGAACGTGAGGGGATGAAGTCAGTAGACAATAAAGAAATAGCCATGTTAGGCCAGGGAAGAAGTATCACTTGGATGGAGTGTCACAGTCATGGTGGCTAAGGCAACTAGATTGTGATAGAGATCTGTAGAACGGTGCATCTCTACTTCTATATAAAAGATGGGCTCCCAGTGACACTGTTACATATCTTGACACTAGAACACTGTACTTTATACCTTTCTCTATACTTACAATGTCAGGATACACTTAAATGGCAGAGTGATGAATTTGTTACTGTTGTTGAGGGACTAAAGTATTGTTACAATATAGGGGAAAACAATGAGATGGCAGGTGAGGGGGGGTGGTGAAAAAAGAAATCCCTGAGCCCAAGAAACTACATCATGAAAAATAATGATTAAAAAAAACCCAAAATTTGTTGCACACCACTGCAATTATATTTTGTGAGGAGACATATTTTCTGTAAAACAACATATTTTCTGAAAAAGCATAGCTAAGATATAAGCCAACCATTCTTTCATGAATTGCATTTCAGGAATCATACAGTGTAAGACGTCACTGAAGTGGAATGCCACCTGCTTTTTCTTTTCAGTTTTCAGCTCTGCAAGACCTTGGCCCTCAAGGGTATTATGGGTTATCTGCTTTCGCAGGTGCCGTGAGTGGCCACTGAGCAACCACAGTTCTATTCATTTCCCTTCATTCCCATTTCATATTCATAATGTGTAACTGGAGCCACATTAGACATCCTCCTACAGAGAACTTACGATGTAATGTGAAATCCCCCTTATCAATTTTTCAGAAGTCTGAAGTTCTGTTGAATTCATATAAGGGCAAGGGTTCTATCATGTTACCTTTTTTTATTGAAGGTTCCGATAACCTTTGTGCAACTGGAGTTGTCTCCTCCACATACTCCACACTTGTCATACTGAAGCTTTGATCCGATAATGCCGTCACAGCCGGTTCGCACGCATCTCCCCCTCACACACACAGAATTACTGTAGGGTCTACATTCAGTTCCATCCGTCACCTGAAGCATGACACACACACACACATCAGCGGTGAGACAATACTTAGGTTCTTTGGTAAACTAAAACATTTGAACCTTAGAGTTTTAAGTATTATTGGACCAGAGAACATATGGAAGAATCAACAGCCATCTTGCAAAAACTACATGGTTTCCACAGGTCTGTAATAGAAAAATCCTTCATATACTTGCAGAAAGAAGCTCTGGGAGATTCTAAATTACACGCTTTCTCCTTCAACTTAATTCGTCATGTGTTAGGAGACGTGGGATACTCATCGCCCTATCTATATACTTAGCTTGTTCCCACAGAAGACTCTTCGCTCCTTACCTTGATACCAACGGTCTCCACACTTAGTGTTTGCGATGATCACTCTTGTGGAATGAGTATAAGCTACTCAACAAGCTAATGTCATTTTTTGTTGTTGCTGTTGCATAAGTTTTTTTTGTTTTTTATTTTTAGAATAACACATCTGAAAATCTAGACATGATATTCAAAACCTTGTCCTGGTCAGAAAGCATTGCCTATTTGAGTGTTGACCTTTCAGATACCTAGATAGGGACCGATTAGTAGGAAGACGAGTCTGAGGAAGTCAGCAAAAGATTTACTGGAGGAGACTCAAATGGCTGACTGAAAGAATACACAATGCTGTGATTAAAAAGCCAGTTGTAGGATACTGTGTAATTTAATTGACCATGGTTTGAGCCTGTGAGCCAATACATAAACAAGTAGGAAAGACATGACCTTTGTAGGACCATTAAGATTTTTTTCAAAAGTTTGATTAAACTGGAATAAAAAAATAACTTCATCTGGTGCAAAATTTTTGAAATCCCTATATAGCTTTTTTTTTTCATGATAGGCATTTTTGCATGAACTTTTTCAGTACTTTTCATCTACAGTGACATATATATATATATTTTCAAAAAATATATATATTTGTCTAGAGAGACACTCTATACATACATAGATAAATATATAAATATATAACTATATATAAATATAGTTATACATATATATGACTATAACTAGGTAGACACTAATTTTAAGGAAGTTATATTGATTCAAAATTCTTGATCCAGAAGATGACATTGACACCCATCGTGTGATGTGATGCTTAGGCAAATGGGAGAACAAGAGGAAGCTTTCTTGCTTTGTACTCCTTCCTGCAGCCTAGCTATTTGCATGGTTGTTTTGAAAGTAAAGTCATATTTTTCCATTTTACCTTATTTGGAAGTGTGTTGTGCTTTTCAAAAACAGCCATTAAAACATTCACTTTTTCTGTTTATAAAATGATTGTATTTGTTGCATACAGTATAAAAACATAGAAATTAAAAAACCTTCTAAATATAAACCATTCACAAACGCATTCTGTCTGTGTTTTGTATCTGCAGGCTTTGTTCTGCTGAGTAATTTCCACCAAGGATGCCTCCTGCTTGTGGACAGGCAGGGTGTACTGACCTTTGGAGAGAAGACCACATAGTAGCCGGTACCCTTGGCTCTGCAGGTCAGTTTGCACACATCTGTTGGGAGAACACCTGCATATTTGGGAACCCATTCCACAAATGTTTTGACTCCTTTTGCATCAGACTGATAGCCATTTTTGGCCTCACATTGCTCTTGTCGAAAAGATTTACCTAGGTACAAACACATTAGGTTATTACTTCAACTGTTCTGAAAATTAGATGGGCATTTAAATAATTAATTTTAAGCAGGAGATGACAACATTTCAAAACTATGGAGCCTCTTCTTCTATCGGTGTTGAATTTTATCTACATATTATAGTCAATGATGCTTTATCTTCTGCTTGTCTGAATATCCAAATCATAATTTAATCAATTTAAAATCCCTCACATATTTGTTATTGATTTGCACATTAGCACAACTGTGCTCTATAACATTAATGGTACTTCTCCAATCTTTCCTGTTTAGTAATGTTAGAAAACGCGTGCAAGTGCGTAGGTTGGGTACCGACACTCAGAGCAGCATACCATTGGGAGGACAGGGTGTGACACTGCAGGAGCGATAGATGGCCCTCTTCCCTGTGCAGTAACGGCCATTGTTTCTGGGTGCAGGGTTATTGCAGTGGCGGTAAGCAAACTGGACTCCTCCTCCACATGAACGAGAACACTGGCCCCAGGGACCCCAGGACCCCCAGTTACCATGGCTTGATGTCTGCAACAGAAAACAGAAGACATTTTTAACTCAAATTGGAGGAAAGCTTCCAATCTATACCTCTGGAAATCGCTTGCATGGGAGGAGACAGACAGAAAAGCATCTCAAGCAGTCCCTGGAAAATGGAATTAAAAATGGTGCAAACATATTGAGATAGATGCATGCAGAAGTCTTCAAAACTTCAGAATCCATTGCACCAAAATGAATTTATATTTTAATTCATTTTTCTCATTACCTTATCGAAGGGCCCTGCTGTGGTTAGATTTTTACTGAATTGAACATGGGCATACCCTGAAATTGCAGCACGTTTCATCCTACACACATCTCCCTCCCTCCAGCACGTTTATCTGAAAGAATCTTGCTCAGTAAGTCCTGAGCAAATTGTCAAGGTCGCCTCCTAGTTTCTCTAAGTCATTTTACATTCTGCTCTTTGGTCATGTGGATATCTGCTAAAATCCTAACAATTTCTAAATCACTGTAGGCGTTTGTCCATTTAGATTTTAAAATTCTTTCAAATTATTTAATTAATTTGAAACACAGAGAGATAAAGTTTGGGGAGAGAGAGAGATACCAGAACCGAGATATCAATCCGAATCTCCCATGTGGGGAGCAAGGATCTGAGTACATGAGCCATCCTCTACTGAATCTTTACCAGTAGGCTTCAATCAGCAGCAGAACTCCAATGTAGCACTCAATTCCGGGATGCTGGCCTCCCAAGCGCCAGTCAAACTGCTGTATGCCAAATGCTGCCCAATCCTTCCTTCTCTCCCTGAGAATGTTTGATGATTGCCACCATGTATATGGATGAAAGCTTTGCATGATGACTGGCATTACTTATATTTGCATCTCTTTCTCTCTCATTGACAGTAAAATTCTTTGGTGGCTTTGTTGACTTACACACCCTGTCTGGAAGAGGCCTTCTGCTCCATGTGTGAAAGGGTTTGAGCTGGATTTGGTTAAACAATTTGATGTGACAGATACTTAAGGCACATATACACGTAAAGAGGAAACACTCAAGTCTATGCCTGTGGGTGCAGTGCAGGAGAACACCATGAGAATCTAAAATGGGATTATTACAAGTTGCTTTGCCAAAGGAATGAATGTAGAAGCATGGTGGGGGTATCGGCAGAGCCTAGAATAACACACATAGATGCAACCTTCCCCAAACAAATGTTACATGTGAGAGTAAACCCATCCTTTGTTCCCACCTTAAAGGTTGAGGGAGCAGTTGTGGAGTTACAGTTGGACTATGCGTAGAGTGGTACACTTGTTTTCTTGGGGTAGCCACACGTGACTTTGGCTGCTCAAGTGATCAGAGGGAAAACTCACCATTTGGGGGGCTGACCACTTATGTATGTAGACTGTGTCAGTGCTGCTACTATTGAGTTACAGAAAGCAAGTATTGCGGGGTGTGAATTCGGGGCAGCAGTTAAGATTCCTATGGGAGATATGCGTCCCCTCCCAGAATGCTCACATTTGAATTTGAGTTCTAGCTCCACTCCCTATCCAGCTCCCTGCTAATGACCCTCTGTGGGGCATGAGGTGAAGGTTCAAGCATTTGGGTTCATGCCCTGACATGGAGAATAGAGACTGACTCTGAGTCCCGCCTCCCAGGTTTGGCCTTGCCCAGTGCCCATGGCTACGGGAATTCGTTAACCAACACATGGAGGCTTTCCGTCTCCCTTTCCTTTGTCTCATAACTATCTTCTTTTCAAGAACATTTTGAAAATCAAATAAATGTTTTCTGGTACTTCAGAATGGGAGGTTTGAAAACAAACTTTCACAAGAGTTTTAAGGGCCATATTTGGGGTCTTAATCAGACAAAACCTGAGTTACACCACTGATTAGTGAAAGGCAAAAGCCTGTGAAGAAATCCACTCTGATCCAGCATTTGATTCGTGACAATAGCCACTGAGGGCCAAATTTGAAGTTGTAAATGGATCTGTAAGGGAAAATATTTCTAATCAAGACACATATAAATAGATAAATATTTTCATGGAAATTAGATAAGTTGATTGTGGTGCTGTGTGTCTTGAAATCAATGCAAACAAGGAGTCTTCAGAGAGTTTATGAAAAATACACATGATGAAAAATATATGCATGATTTCAAAACATTCTTTACACCAACATAAGGTTATTTTTTAAATACTTATCCCAGGAAGGCATTTTTCAACTTGGATCTCCAATCCTTGAGTGACAAGAAAAGCACTTACTGAGTAATATTTTTTCTTGGTTTTGTCCACACATTTGCCCTGCAGGCATATCCTGCCCTTCCCACAGGGTGTGCCCTCCACAGCGGGCAGCTTCTTGGTGAGGCACACCATCTGGCCCTGGCGCACCACTGCACACCACAGGCGGGCACACACGTCCATGCCAGGGCATACGGTGTACTCAGGCCCGAACGTCAGGTTGCACTGCTGTGTGGCATCGTAGGTCTGTCCTGGGAGTTCTTCAGGGCCCAGGATCTGCTTCCGTGGCAGGTCTAGCAAGCAGTTACCTATAAGAATAACCAACATTGATCTCTGCTTGGGATTTAGGTTTAAAGCCAGTGAAATCATGAATTGAAAAATGCAACGTTTCAGCAAGTGTTGATGCGTCATACACCCACAGACCTGCAGACTGAGGCCTTGGATAAGGCATTCCTCTGGAGGCCAGACTTGGTACCACCTTACACCACAACTTTCCATTATTCATTGTTCGCAGGTGATCTATATCTCTAGGGCCTATAAAATTATGGAGATGTGACCAGAACTGGTAGGAATAAACAAAATTATTGTTATGAATTAGTTGTGATTGCCTGGCGCAATAGTCTAGTGGCTAATGTCCTCTCCTTGAACACACCAAGACCCATACAGGCACCGGTTCTAATCTCGGCAGCCCCGCTTCCCTTGCAGCTCCCTGCTTGTGGCCTGGCAAAGTAGTCGAGGATGGCCCAGAGTCTTAGGACCCTACACCCACGAAGAAGATCTGGAAGAAGCTCCTGGTTCCTGGCTTCGGACTGGCTCAACTATAGCTGTTGCGGCTACTTGGGGAGTGAACCAGTAGACAAAGATCTTCCTCTCTCCTCCTCTCTGTATATCTGACTTTACGATGAAAATAAATCAATTTTTAAGCATTAGTTGTGGAATATACAAGGGGCTGAGGCAATAAAAGATATTTCAGTGGGTCTAGCAGAAATCAGCCATGAGCTTAATAATAATAGCAGTGAAGCACTCCACAACTTTCAGAAACAAAATTTGTCTTTGGTATTCTCCAACACCTTGTTCTCCAACCTTTTTCCCTGTGTACTAGTCATATGTTTGTGTTTTTTTTCCCCTTTAATTGCATAAATGACCAGGGAGCTAAGCCACTGATTGCTGCACTTGCAGAACATTTGACACACAATGCTACAGAAAAGCACATTAAATATGAATAATACAAAATATGACCCAGATCTACCCTTTAAGGTCTTCCAAGAAAGAGTGGTATATAGGATAAGTGAATTTTTTCCCAGGTTGAAAAAGATGGTGGATAGCTTTTAAGATTGTCAGAATAAATGTAAGCAATATGAGAAGAAAAGCAACACTTTTCGATAATTTAGGAACAGGACATTCTTCACCGGCTTCCTCCCATTCTGTTTGTTAATGGTTTTTGTTGAGAGTGGGAAGTACATTTTCTAAACCAAGGTGATGGCTCTCTAGATATGAGGTCAAGCGCCAACAGGAGTGATGGGGGAGCATGCCGAACTAGGACAGGCGTCATAAACAATCAGAAACTAAAATGTTCATTCTCTTCCTGTACAAAAAAATCCTTATCCAGTGAGTTGCCATCATCGATTTTCTCTTCTATGTACATATATACATAGTCCCAGTTTCTGTACTTTCTTGTTTGTTTGATCTTGGAGTTAATTTACTGAATTCTCATGAGATGATTCATTCATTTTATTTATTTTACAGATAAGGAAACCATGGAAGATAAAGATCAATTATCCAAAGCTAGGCTATTACGGTACTGTGGTGAGAGTCAGGCTGCTCAGGGCAGACCTTACTGCTTCTGGTTAGCAGGTGGAGAGCTGCTTTATTTCACGTCTGAAGGGCAGGTTTCATTAAGAATTCCTTAAATGGGAATTCTTGTGCCTAATGGTAGACACACCTGGTATAAAATGTAATCCTGATCAAATTCTAGGTGGCTGAGAATTCTTAGTCAAGTTAGTTAATCTTTCCCTAATTTAATTTCAACACATGTGAAGTGCTTTTCTTCTCACTATGATTCTATCAAGGTGAAATTAGCTAACAAAGAAACAAAGACGAAGATTAAGGAACAGTCATTGATCCTGTGTTCAGCATATTTACCAAACTTAGAAATGTACCAGTTATTCTCTTTAATCCACAGAGAAGTAGTTGAATCCTTAATTTCATTGAGAATAGAATACTCTCCACATTTTAACTGTGCTAACAAATGTTTTTACAACTACACTGAAGTTTCTTCAAAGTGAATACCTTAGAAGTTGTCAGACTGGGATGGATAGATTTTAGAAAAATGAGTAAAGACCAAAGTTCCGATTTAATTTCTGTGCCAGAGTGCTTGAAGAGGTAAAACTTCTTAACATAAGCCAGCAAAAGCATTCAAAACAAGCTTCTAGCCAAAGAGAACCTGAGGAGGAAAACGCTAAAAGAAAAACATTAACATCAAATCCATAGGAAAGAATGAGAGTAAAACTTCCCTAGGTTTTGTTTACAGGACATAGTAAGATAAGGCACTTTAGAACTCCAGGGGAAACCTTATCATCAGTGCTACATAACAAAGACACCATGCTGTGCACACCCGGGAGTGCTTAGCACACTGCTGAGGTTAGGAGACCCGCAACAAACCTCTGAATCAGCAAGAATGCTTTCCAATCCTTCAAAACTGCTGTTCTTAGAATTTTTTTTTTTTTTTAACAATTTTACTGAAAAGCACAGACTGCAAGAAGTGGATAACTAAATCTTAGCTGGGAAGTCTTTACCCTGGGTGGGTACATGTGGCCTGCTGGGGTCTGCTTCATTTATCTCCAGCCAAAATAACCTACCACCTCACTAAGGACACACAGCCATGCATGGTCCCTCTACTGCACTGGCTGCTAATGAATGAAAAGAAATGGATAACATACACAATTCGAAATCAGCGTGCAATAGGCAGACTTCAGCTGTGCAATCTCTCTTCAGAAAGCTTATTCCAGAAGTATAATTTCTTTTCAGAGGTATAATTTTTAAAAATTAAACACACATTTGCTTTGCTATTAAAAGTCAGATATGTAAGAATATATATCTAACAGGGCAGGATGTGAAGATTTTCTTAGTTGAAACAAAGTGATTTATATCAGAATTTCCCTTCATTCGTTATTTCAAGGTTCTCAGTGTGGTAAATTGTTGCTGCATCAATTTCTGTTTTTCCTGAAATTTCTATCTATTTCATTTTCAAGATGAATTATGTCATCCTACCAAAAACCAGATACAGACATTGATAGTAAACATCCGACTGAGATTCATGCCAAGAAAGATTAACAAGAACAAATGAGTATCAGCCGGATTCAGAGTCCCGCAGTGTCTGATATTTAAAGTCTAAATAGTGGACTGGCTATGCATTTTCATTTAGAAAAAATGGGTGTGGTTTGAGGGTGGAGTGACAGAAGAAGAGCAAATTTAACATCATTTATGTTGATTTGTAAAGAGACTCAAATTACAGCTGACTTTTGTTTACTTGCCTTGCACTGACTCCCAGCCACGTCTTCAAAGTAACCTCACTTGTATTCTAGTTTGTCCTGGTTTGTAATGCTATCTGGGTTTCCTTGTTAACATTTTGTCTTTTTTCTTCCACAACTTGCTAAGTTGTTTTTTTCTTTTTCCCTTTCTTTCTTTGAGGGTAACATTTTGTATATACAACAGGACAGTGTATAAAACAAAAGGCAGAATAAATAGTTCATCTTTGCTTTTCTTATTCATGTGTAGCAATGGACCTAAACTAAGGCAAAAAATTGAAAGGGAAATACAGTGACTTGAAATGAACTAATGAAAGTATGTGGCAGTCTCTTTGTACGGCCCTTGAAACCCACCAGTGCTGATGGAAAGTATAGCAGAAAACAGAACAGAAAAAAAAAAAAAACCCGTGAGTTAAAAAGAAATCTGGCTTCTCTAACTAGTTAATTATCTTTCTGGCTATGCGTTAATTCATGGAAATCAATGTTGATGGTTATTATTCCTTACCCTTTCTACCTTATTTCTAGTCCTGAAATTATTTCAGTCGACTCTCCTTGTCCATATCTAAAAATGATATGTTGGTTCAAATATTCTCAGCCTTAAGAAATCAATGAATATTCCTAACCAATTGCACCCAAAGCATCTTTTTTGTTTTTTAAGATTTATTTATTTTTATTAGAAAGGAAGGCATAGAGAGAGAAGAAGAGACAGAATGGAAGATCCTCTGTCCAATGGTTCACTCCCCAAGCAGCTGCAATGGCTAGAGCTGAGCCAATTTGAAGCCAGGAGCCCGGAGCTTCCTCCAGGTCTCCCACATAGGTGCAGAATCCCAAGGCTTTGGGCCATCCCCAACTGCTTTCCCAGGACACAACAGGGAGGTGGATGGGAAGCAGGACTGCCTGGACCAGAACTGGTACCCACATGGGCTTATCAACAAGGAGAAGCACATGAAGCAGGCGTTCAAGGAATTTAAGGAATGTGTTATACTGGAAATGAATGAAAGCTGATACATTAGAAATGAAGAATACAGTGGAGCAAATTAAAAGTACAGTGGATAGTCTCCAAAATAGAATGAAGCAAGCAGAAGAAAGAATATCAGAATTGGAAGATATTTCCTGTCACCGGGGAAACAAACAAAAAGCTGGAAGCAGAGCTGGATCAGGCAAAAAAAAATATTCAAGAATTGAAAGACACTATTAAGAGGCCAAATAGAAGAGTTATGGGAGTCCCAGAAGGCGCAGAGAGAGATCACTGGGATTAAAATTGTAATAAATTAAAAATAAGGGAAATTTTCCCTAATCTGGAGAAAGAATTGCGAAATAACATTTAGGAGGGACACAGAACTCCCAACAGGGTTGATCAAAAGCGATCTTCATCATGACTCACAGAACTTTAGAATATATGTCTCATTTACAAGTCCTCTAACTGCATTTCTTGTGAAAATCAAGACACAATTATAATACACTTTGTATTCCATTTCACAGATTGATGTTAAGCATTGCAGTCCAGACGCAGTAGAGGATTCAGGTTACTTAATTTCCCAACATTATTTTATGTCAAAGGTGTGTGCGCAGTGAGTGGCTGTTACATGAGCTCTTTCAGAGCTGACTGTATGGCACAGTGGGTAAAGCCACTGCTTGCATGTCAGTCATCCCATTTGGAAGATGGTTCGAGAGCTGACTTCTCCACTACCTATCCAGTTGCCTGCTAACGTGCCTGGGAAAACATTAGAAGATGGCCATAGTGCTTGGGCCTCTGCACCTGCAAGGGAGAGCCTGATGATTTTCCTGGCTAGCTCAGCCCTGGACACTGTCGCCATTTGAGACAGTGAGTTAGTGGATAAAGGATCTCTTTCTTTGTCTTCCTTTCTTACCTCTGCCTCTTGGTAACTATGCCTCACAGATAACTATAGAAGTCTGTAAAATAAAAGCAAAGCCAGCATTCAGTTATCTACATATTAATTTTTCCAAGCTGTCTGCAGTTTTTTCTCCAGAAGCTGAGGCTGCAGGTACGTTCATACTGTGCCTATGCAGGTGGTCGCCTTACTCATCATGGGACACTGGACATGGGATACAGCAGATAAAGCTATCTTTTTTTCTCCTTATGTTTATTAAACATTTGAGAAGGGAAATTCAGTAATTTGCTTTTCCTCACACAATTTCTCTGCCAATGCTTACCTGAGTAAACAGGACAGCTTGTCGACCAGAATCTTGGCCAGGATGGCCTGATGGGGGTGGAGAGTCTTGTAAGGAATCAATTCTCTTTCTCTCTCTTTTTTTGGAATCAGATGGTTATTTTTGAGTGTATACTCTGACTTTTCAGCCATAACCTAATTGATGCATTTTTCTAGCTGGAATCATGTCAGGAAACACTCGTAATACTAATGAATTTAAACTTGGCAGTGGTCAAGTGCTACCAAAGTCCAGCTACTTATGGCTAATAATTTTTAAAATAAATCAAATACTTGGAACTTCATTTTGCTCCAGGATCTCAAATCTCCAGCATTTCTGCAGATGGGCAGCAAGGGGTGGGGATACAATAACACACAGAAGTGGATTTTCTGGATGGCATACTTTTTAGGTGACTTCAAAAATTGCGTAAGTTTTATGAGAATATCTACTTTAAAACAGTAATGGCTTTCCTGCTTTTGCAAAGTAGTTTTTGACCTTGTGGAAAATTGTGCTTCAGTACTGTGTTATTTCAAGGGTTTTCATTTTGCAGGTGGAGTTGGTTAAGCACCTCTCCCTTATTGTCAAAGGATACCGTTTATTGTCCTCAGCACATCTGTGTGAAAGACTTTCCAATCCCTAGGATTATTTTGTGGCTTAAACTTGCTCATGTGGGGCAGAAATTGTGGTGCAGTGCTTTACGTAGCAACTTTCCAAATTGCACCCCACATTCTCATATTGGGTGGCTGGTTTCGCTCCTGGCTACTCCACTTTTGATTCAGCTTCCTACTAATGTACCTGGGAAATTATTGGAAGATGGCTCAATTACTTGGGTTTCTGCAGCCCAAATGGGAGGCCAAGAATGAATTCCTGGCTCCTTGCTTCAGCCTGGCAGAACCCTAGTTGTTGTAGCCATTTAGGAGTAGACGGAAGATGGTTTTCTTTTTTTTCTCACCCCTAACACACGACCTCTCCTCTTTCCCTCAATCTGTCATTCTGCTTTTAAAGTACATACGTCTTCGAAAATCTGATTTGAAAATCAGAACAAAGAGTACAACTAGAAATATAAATAAATGGTCTCTCAGTGGAAGCCTAAGTAGTTCTCAGTGAGTGAAATGGAAGGGTTTATGCTAAGATTTCAGGTTAAGGGTATGGTGTTCTAAGAGATGCATTACATTGCTTTTCCATCAGCTTGGGCTTTTATTTTTTTACTTCTTTCCTTGGCTCTATAGTTGAACTGTCTGTACACCAACCTTCTCACAACCGGGTTTGCTAATTTCTCTGGTCAGACTGTCATGTAAACTTACTTCAGTTTTCTGGTCACAATGGACTATTACAAAATGATTTGAATTTATAGCTACATCATATTGCTTTAAGAACTTTGAGTGCGGTGTCTGTATACCGTTTTCAAATAAAATCAGACATGCTAACACATTTTCCTTCTTTGTTTTGCAATATTCTAACATTACTTTATTCATTGTAGATTATTAATGAAATAATGATTTTCTCTGTCAACATAAATGATTGAAAGATCAAGTTAAAGTATTAAAAAGAGAAATAGTTTAGAGTTGGCAAAATATAGCATAAAACATAAAAATGTTAGTTACATTTCTTCGATATACTCAAATACTTTTTTTTAAGTCCGGCAAACATATAAGGTCTATTTACACTAAAATTATATCTTCAGAAATTTTAAACAGAAACTGAAATGTAACAAATAAGTTATTTGTTATAAAATTTTCAAAAACTCAGCGCATGAAGCTGTTTAAATACAGACATGTTATTAAAAACTAAGACAATCCTAGAAGCATATTTACTGCACAGATAGTAAGGCCATAAATTCCAGAACCAGGAAAAACATGAATTATTTCCAAATTATGGGAATAAAGAACAAAACTATGCACAGCATTGTAATTAGTTGACCTAACACTTGCATAGGAAAAAAACTTTTTTTTTTTTTACCATTTAGCAATAAGTATTTCCTGCCTTAGCAGCTAAATCCATTTAATTAGTGATTCAAGGTTTAGCTCAAGCTTTTGGAATGTGTAATGTGTGATTTTTAAATTAAATATGAAACTTTTTCATTATATAAAACCAAAGAAAACAAAACAAAACGGTAAGGGCAGCGTTAGGAGCATAGCCTTATGGTCTTGTTCAAGAATATCTTCATTAAATATTCATTCCATATTGATCACTACAGATACATATAATTTGATAAACATCGGTTTCAGGACTTTAGCAGCTTTGAATCAACACTGATAATGGGCCCCAACTTAAAAGCACAATGTTATTACTGCTGGGAAGGAAAAACCTATTATAATCAGTTTTGGTATTGGTTGTAAATTTTTAAAATATTGGCAAGTTCTTTCTTTTTACTAGTGAAGAACCCTTTTTAATCGAGAAAAATTTCAAGCCAACTTGGATTTTTGGCTCTTGATTGCCTTTAGAAAAAGAAATGTTTTTATTTATTTATTCATTCATTACACAAAGAGATCAAGCAACGAGGGGGATTATCTGAATTATCTGTTATTTCACTCCCCAAATTCCTGTAAGCGTGGCAGCTGGGTCAGACCAAAGCCAGGAACTGTTATCTGCAATCAGCTTTCCCACAAGGATGGCAGGGATCCAATGATTGGAAGTATTACTGTTCCCTCCCATGGTGGGCATTAGCAGGAAGTTGAAATCAGGAGCAGTGCTAGGACTTGACCCGAGGCACATTGATATGGGATGCAGGTGGCTCAAGTGGCATCCTAACAGCTAAGCCAAAGTCTGCTCTGGGAAAAGGGAATAGGATCATACTGCTAACGTACTGCCAGTTCATCATTAATGCAGTCAGTGAGTTAGCACGCAATATGGAGTAACTACCTGGATTTAATCACCTGTAGTGACATGATGTAGTTAGAGTTCAAGTTGACCAACGGTAAGACATATGGTCATGCTAGAACTGGAAAAAAGAATTATCATAAAACCTTTTTATCCAACTTTGAATTACATATCATGGAATAATTTTAAGGGAAACCATTATGATTAAGATTTTTTTCATATTTAAATTTTTTCATTTTTTCAAATTTTGAGTAAAGAAGAAATAATAATTTTCTTATATTATAGGATGAGACACTTTGAACTGTGTGATTTTTAAAAAATCTCTTCTAGTTCTTATGTAATTTTCCTCCCAGGTTTCTATTGTGTCAAAACAATAAAACATTCTAGGAAACTTGTAACAGTTTGTTGTAAAGATTATTGGGGTACCAAAATTTCCTATGTCTAGAATTGGCAACTTCATTGACATTTGTATTTGATTTACTGCATGATATCTATTTTCATAGAGTTTAATAAAGTGTGCTCTGCTCTTAAATTATATCTAAAGAATGAAACCAAACATTTTACTTTTAAATTCTTGATGTGATTCCTCATCAGATTGCTGTTGTTTTTTTGGTTTTTGTTTTTTTTTTTAAATCTGTTCAATTATCTTTACTTCACTTTCAGGAGAGTCTATTGTCTATATGAAACCAAATTCTTTCTTCAACCTAGCCGTCCTTCCCAGACTTTCTTAGGTCTTGAAGGGAATCCAGTGGAACTGTCACCTACACCTTAACCACACCCCTGTAATAAGCATGTAACAAATAATTCTGAGACTCATCTTAATAGCAGGGAAGCCAAGATGTCTGCCAAAGTTCTCACAGGAAGCTAGTGGTGAAAGAAGAAATAAAAGCCAGGTTTTTAGGGCACAGTGAGGCATTCTGTGTGGTCTCCCACACTGTTTCTCTTTTGAACTTTTCAATTCCAAAGCAAAAATACCATAGCTACAATGCCACCAAGGATGCTGGCCTTACGTGCCAAGATACGATCAGTGTGCTTGCTTTGTTCTCTCAGAGTGTCAAAACAACACTGTGTGTCAGAGCTAGATGTCATGTGGAGGATAAGATGAAGTGGAACACTCATAAATTCCCAGTTTTTGTTTCTGGTACCATGTTGCCCTGAATGACACATACCATGGCCGTCATCCAGGAATTCTGTGATGGTGGCTGAGGTACACTTGGACCAGGGCTTGGAGGCATCGATACTGGTGAGGATGGATGACATTAAGCGTTTATCTTCCGTGGAGCCAAAGTTCTCTTCACAGAACTTGGAATCATCGTGAGACAGGCCAAGGAGATGTCCTAAGGGAGGGAATAGAGGAAGTGAAAATAAGAGGTGATTTTCCATTTTTGTTTTTCTACACAATTACAGGAGCACATGATTTTTTCCACTGGGTAGTAGATGAGTTCATGATCACGAACTTTCTCACCCAGATGCCGGACACCTTGGGAAATAAAAGCTGTGCGTTACTGGTGGATCAATTACGTTTGGTGAACATTGAAATGAAGCCAGAAAAGCTCAACTCAGGAGAGGATGTTTGCCTACCTCATTTGGACCGCATATGCTCTGGGACACACACAAACACTTATTTAGAATCCAGAATCTGTGAAACAACTGTGGGGTGTGTCATTGCCCTCACTACATATTATGCTGATTGTTGAATTTTCTGTTTTCTCTGATGAACCACAAACCCCACGAGATCAAAGTGCTTCTCTCCTCCTTCACTGCTGAAACTCCTGTATTTAATTTAACGCCGTGCAAGTTGCAAACACTTAATAAACAACTTTTATGGATCAATGACTTCTATTTTCTTCATCAAGAAATTAAGTGGCTACCTGTTTGTGATGACGTGGGGAGGAAAATAAGAGAAGTGAAAGTAAAAACTTTCTGGTTTCATGAAAGTGTAAACGTGCTCTTCCTCTTCATTGCTTTTTGTCATTTAGTGAATTATGAGTGGTTACTGGTCTCCCAACCAAACTAAAGATTTTGCAAATATACCCATCATGGAGTCAGTTTCAATGCTGGGAGAAAAATAGATACTGCAAGTGAAGGGATTTTTCTAAAAGCACTCATCTAGGTGGTATTTTGGGCTTCAGTTTCCCAACCATGTTCTTGGCAATTCCAGCAGATGTCATTTCCATTGTATCATGGTAAATATTATTTTACATAGTGGATAACTGCTGATTTATAATCCAAGTAAATTGCTTTTCATTGCATAACATCATTTTCCTTTTGCTCTAAAGATAAAATAACGTTCTTTAATAAATCCAAAATGCTGCTAAAGTTACTAAAGTCTCAGCAGTTTGTTGAAAACTCTGAAAAGTAGACAATAAGTCACCCTAACGGTGTCTTTTTAGTAAAGCTTTCTAGAATACGAGGAAACCACTTATAACGATGTGGAAAGTAGTGTTGCCAATTGATTACTGCATTTTCCTTGGGTTCTTGATGCCAAATTCAAGAACTCTGGCCAGGCTACGAGGAGTTCAGCACACATCAATGAAATCCAGCAGAGATGAAATCCTTAATGCTGCATTCCCACTACTTTTGGCCAACTCGTTAAATCACCGACACCTCATAACAGAATTGTTCACTGAGCAGCTGACTTCTGTTGTGGCTCCAATTAAATAGCTAGGGCTCGGTCACCTTCCAAATCTTCCCATTCTTGTGTTTTTTTAAAGATTGATTTATTTATGTTAGTTATTTACTTCAGTAAGACTTACTAGATGAACAAATTTTCTCTGGGAAGCCCATTCACCTTCTGTTGGGTCAGTAGCATGTATGTCTCAAATGACATACAAATGATGAGCAGAAGCTCCTTTAGTTTTTGAGTGATGTGTTCTGGGAACTCAGAGTGCAGAGAAACAAAATTCTTCAATCATGTCCTTTTAAAAACTGCTGAAATGACGTCCAGTATTTGGTGCGTGTGCCCTCTGACTTTTGTGAACTTCTTTAAGGTAGAAACTATCATTTAGGGCTGTGGGATTAACATGGCAATTTCACACTGGAGGCTTCGCCCCACATCCTTCTGGCACAGAAAACAGAGAAAGCGGCCCAAAATGACCTTCGTAACATGATACTTACTTGAATCCTGGCTTACATTTTTCCAATGAAACATTAGAATCTTGCATTCTGTTTCATAAGACAGTCAAGTTTATTTAATGGAGTAATGGTCTTTTCTTCCAAATCTATATAAATTACACTTTTCATATGTATTTTTATTATTGCATCAAGGGATTTTCACTTCATTTGGAGAGAAGATTTTGAGATTCCGATTTAAAATGCAGGCCATATGGCAAATACCAATTACACTTTGAAGGGCCTATGAGAATATCTCACTTTTTTCTTGTATACATAGAGGCAAGCCATAGAATGTTCAAGATCCAAACTATGTAAGTAAAACAGTTTCCTTTTCAAGTATCTTGGCATAATTTTATGAATCATTTGGCATGCTCTTGGGCATAATATTATGAATTTTATGCTTCTTGAATTTATTAATTGCTACCACAATAAGTGAATTGCTACCACAGATAAACACAAAATGCCACCACCGAAGATTGTCATTCTGAGCATGTCCAGCTCCTAGCTCCACCTCAGCCAGAATGAGAGGGGGTGTGAACCTTTCTTCTTAGTTTTCTGTGCCAGGAAGACACAGGCCGTGTGAGAGTCAGCTGGGCAATATCAACATTTCAGTGGAGAACAAACGTCCTGTTCTTCACGGAGAAAGACTGTGAGCTGGCTGAGGGGCATGTGCAAAAGGAAGAACATTTCAGCATCCACAAAAGCAGAAAGCCTGTTCCTGAGTGTCTGGAACCAGGATCCAGGGAGAGGCCCACATGACTTCCCTTCAGAAGCTGGAGGGGACCTGGAAGTGGAGAGCAAAGTGAGGGATGCTTGGATGCTCTTTAGGAAAGATGTGACACACATACTAAGAGTCGTGCACAGCCAATGGAGTGGGGGTTTTCCAATGTGAGCTGCCAAACAGTTTTGCTAAAACAGTTGATGTCTATCTATAACTTGTCCATATCATTCAGCCCTGATTGGCAAGGCACATATAAAAGCATCAACCCTTTTAAAGGGACACTCACACTGGAGCCAATACACTATGACACAAAAGTTCAAGAAAATCTAGAATCTAGGAAATTTAACATCAGGTCACAGCAGACAGCTACGTATTTCAAGGAGAGACAGTGCGGGAATTACAGAGAACTGAGCACCGTATTTGGCTTTGGTGGCAGTTGCCTTTCCAGATTCTGTTCATAAATTACCTATAGAGATAATGAAAGTCAATGGTATGGTTTGCAGCTTAAGAATTTCTGAGAAAAATAGCTCCCAGCAGCTTTCCCAAAATATGGAGTTAACCAGTCATGCCCCCAGAGAATAATGAAGAATACCAAAACGTGGTGGAGAAAATGTTTACAATGCCTAAAGAAGGTTGTCATTTTCATGTAATTGTGTTTTGCAATGTTTTCTGTTTGATTGTTTTCCAGCTGCAAATAACAACACAGTGAGTAGAAGGATGAAATCTTGATGAAGCCAGGGAAATGAAATTGAGAAACCTATGGAGAAAGGAAATTCTTGAAGCAGGTGCTTGGTGCAGCACTTAAGATGCTGGTTGGGAGGCCTGCATTCCTTGTTAGAGTGCCTGGTTCTATTCCAGGCTCTGATCCTGAGTCAGCTTCCCGCCCACGTGCACTTTAGGAGGCAGCAAATGATGGCTCAAGCAATTGGATCTCTGCCAGAGATCCAGATTAACTTCCAGCCTGGTCCAGTCTTGGTTGTTAAGGGCATTTGGGTAGTGAGGCAGCAGGTGGCAAAGCCTTCTTCTCTCCATGTCTGTCTCGCTGCCTTTCAAACACATAATTACATTTTAAAATACAAAAACAATTTCCATTTTGTTTTGGAAAGATAGAGAAATATTTCTTTCTTGGCAGTTCAGAGTATAGAAAGAAAATGGTGGGGAAGATTCCAACTGACTCTAAAGGGCAAAAAAAGAAATTTTCAGCAGTTCAAGCAAGTTCCTTCTTTCTTTCTGCAAACCAGGATGTGTAGAGACCTGGTGAGAGGGAAGGTGGGCAGGTGGGTAGAGGGGTGGCGAGTTGTGGTTGTGGTGGTGGTGGAGTGTTGCCAGGACTTAAAGCAAAGTTCCTAAAGTCTTGCTTTAGGACAAATCGGTGTTCCTGTTTAGATTAATTTGTTATCAACTGACATGCTAAAGATGGAAAACCAACTTTAGCAATTTGTTTACAAAACTTTCTATTGCTTGATGATACAATTGGAAATTTCTCATGTATAATGCTGAGGCAATTAAGAGCCAAAGCACAGAAATAAATAGCAAGCAGTTACTTGATAATGTTTCTAGTATGATGATCCTTTTTTAAAATGAAGTCAAATAGGTGACGTATAATAAATGTGATCTTTGAAAAGTCCAACATAGATGGAAAGAACGGGTTGCTTACTTAAATTCACAAGTGAATCTAGTGTTAGAAAGAAAGCCTGAGACAAAATAGACATTTCCTCCACAGGCAAGCTTCTAATTCAACTCAAGTATTACTGTACAAGTAGGTATGACTTAGAACATTAACTTCAGGAAGGAAATTGCTTGTTTTTCTAAACTTTGGTGTGAAAATTAAACAGAATTTCACAGTCTTGTTTCCTGATTCCAAAGTGACCAGTGGTCAAGGGGACACAGTACCACATCCTAAAAAAGTCCCAAGGAGTTCTGTAATGTGTTTACTTGGGACAGCACGGCATGGCTGAAGCAGCTGTTTCTTAATGAAGTCATGTTTTTATTTTACCTAATTTTCCAGCTGGGATTATGGAGGTTCAAGACGATCTTGCAAGGGGTGAAAAGTGAGTCAACAGCTTATGTGAGACCAGAATCTGGAATCACCTGAAGAAGGCCATCTTAAATCCCAGTGATTGAGTTGAATATGTCTACTCCAACATGCATTCCATCCAGAAGGTGATTCACTCTCCTTTCAAAACACTAAATGTGAGTGGTAAGCTTGGAGCCAATTTTGTATTTTGGAAGGAAGAAAACTTTTTTTTTTTTGCACAGCATACCCTCGCAGCATCGATATACTTTTGAATCAATCTAACGGGATATTCTATAAAAATACTTACAGGGAAGAAGTCCTGGGTTCCAAAGCCAGATGAATTATGTTCAAATTTTAAGCTAGCAGTGTTGATCTCAAGGTTAGAAACTTCTGGGTGTGCTGGTTTTCTCTTCTATTGGGTGATCTATAAACACTTATTTCTGGGCATTGGTGAGGATTAAATAATGTAGAGGAGTTGGGTTTTAGGACACACGAGCTTTGGTGTCCTCCCAGATTTCCTAGGACTAATTTCCCTAGTCACATGCCAGTACTTAATAGTCTGAATGCATTTTAGTGTTATTAAACAACTTCATTCGGGAGGGGAAGGAAAGTTTCTCCAAGAGAAAGACGAATTAAAATTTGACTTCTAAAAATAACTGACAGTAAACACAAAATCTCTCAGTGATGTCAGCCGTAAAGCAACGTCATATATTTCCACCTTACATCTACAGCACCAGCAAAGCATGGTGTGCCATTGCTCCAAACTGGAAAGAAAAAAGTGCTCAGATCATCTTGATTAAAGCCATGAGTTTGTGGGTAAATACCCAAGTTTAATCCCAGCTTCCTCTGACCTCACATCTCGTATCCAGTCCAACCTCTGATTCTGTGTATTGTGCTTTGGTCTGTGGTGCTTTGAGGGCCTCAGCAGCTTTTGCAAACATGGCCTTGTTTAATCTAATCATCCATGGAAGCACAGTCCCATGAAGATCAGCACAACTGGAGAACAGCCTCTAACCACAGCAAAACACAGGCAGCCTGCTGTTGTGTCTCAGCCACTTCCTAGGTTTCAGCTGAATACAGGGTCTTGACTTTTGAAGTTGCCTGGCTTTAGCTCAGGAAGCACGCGGAAGCCTTTCATTCTGCAGAGATTCACTTAGCACATTTTATAATTAACTGAAATAAAGCAAAACTTTGGAATGTTTGCAAATGATGAATTTCATTAATCTAAATAAAATCAGATTGTTCTCCTGAGTGTCTGGGAAGCTGGCTCTACATCAATAAAACTATAGTTTTAACAAGCATGTGTGCAGCAGGTGAAATCTTTATTATTACAAGTTGTTAATAAAAATCTGACAGGTTAAAAATACAAACTCAGGCTATAAATTCAACATTAACTTGAAAATATCCGAGTTCACATTTGGCTTGTAAAGGGCTGCAGATACCTTCCTGCCTCCACTCAACATACATGAATGAGGACTGTATTTTTCAATGTGTAAAGTACCTTTCAGAAATGTCCTAACAATGTATGCATCTATTAAAATCAGGAGGAAAACAACTCAACATCTGTCAACATCAACATTCAGAAGCCTGCATTGTCATCACTTAGATATGTACTTCCAAAAATCTTGTTCTTTTTCAAAATGATTAGCAGAGAAAAAGAAGTGTTATGGTTATCAAGCAATTCATGAAAAGAGTAACTTTCGGAACTATTCATTTGTCTCTTACCCTTATGAGTTTAAGTAACCTAATCCTGTAGCTGGAAATAGTATAAATAGGGTCTTTGATTTTTGTCTCTGTCTTACTCATCGAATCTCAGTGGAGGAGATTTTCAAAGACAAGGAGTAAGAGAAAAAAAAAATGGGAAGTTTTGATCCATTTTTTTCCCTGAAAAGTATACTCAACTTTGAGTTTTAAATCTCTGTTCACAAAAAGAGAGAGCACTTGGGTACTTATATGCGGAGTTACATTTCAATTCCTGAAAATTGTATTCCTAAGCAAATATATAGAAGAAATGAAGTAAAAGATTATGACACAGGCTTGGAAATATTCTCCCAATTTATGCTTTAAGTGCAGCAATAATTTACACTGCTTGAATGAAAAAAATGCATATTGTGGATTGCAGCTAAAGTAAACTCAGGGCACTCTGGAAGTAGGTTTTAAAGTCTTGTTTTCATCACTTGACACAGCTCGTAGAAGTAACTTTCAAATATGAAAAGTTGCAAGTATCTAGTAAAACAGAAGCAGAGGATGGAGTGCTGGGAAAATGCACAGAAATAATCCAGTTGGATTAGAATCCAGAGTTTGGTTAGTGTGGATAATAGCTTCATGAAACAGAGCAGTGAGCTGCCTGACCCGACTCTCACTGGCTGTACAGCAAGACTAAGATAACCTGTAATATATGCTCATATCGTTTGTGCTAAAGCAAAGTCAAAGTAGACAAAAGTGAATGAAAACTAGGGTACTTTATATATCTGGAATTGAATTCTCATTTCCCTGCTGGTCAATATTATAGCATGGACCATATACAATGTAGAAAGGGAAATCAAGTAGGTAGGGCTTGGATGATGCAGAATAAGTTACAAAGAATTTTAAATGAAGTAAACAGAGAGGATTCAGCAAAGAAATTGAAAGACTACAAGAGCATAATGATCTGTTGAAGATTCAGGTTTTATTTTTGCTCAGGAGGGCACCTCAGAAATATCATGGAAAAAATAAAAGGAAATTCATTTGTGTGCAAATATTTTAAATCTATGCATAACTTTTCATAATACAAATTTTTATTAATTTTTCAAACTGTCCATGAACACCTGCATTACTTATACACTGTTCTCTTGTGTATCTTTATCCAATATCCTTAACATTCTAAGAAAGTTTCTTATTGTACACTCAGATAAATATAGCTTTAATATCACATTTGTTCTCATCAGCATCTGGCTTCTGACCTCTCCGGCAGCTGCACCTGTGCAGTAAGGACCCTAGGGTTACCAATTCAGGTGGGCTGAGAAGACTGCGCTGTAAGGTTCTTCCATTCAATCTCATTTCTTTGAAGCCAAAGCAGCCCAGGAGAAGCTGTATTCATTGCCACAATATCACAGAGGAAGAACTCACAGATGAGCCTAATGTGGGACAACAGATCACCTCGGAGGCCAGGGGTAAATAATCTCGCAAGGAATGAACAGTTTCATTCTTCCAAGAACAAGATTTAGAACTCAAGAGCCTGTGCACGGAGGGTGCCAACATTCAGTTTTCTTGCTTATCTCCTATAACTTCACCTGGCTTACAGACTCACGAGCCATTGCTGTTCCAGACATCTAGCACCGCTCTTTTGGCATTGCCTTCACTCTGAATACAAGTGATTGATGACTAGCATACCATTCAAAACTCCTCTCCTTAATTACAATCCTCTGGAGTATTTGGACTGCAGGATCAAAATGTTACCTTGAACAGCTCTCCTGTGTGTTTCACTCACACATATACTAAGAACTGTAACAAATATTGATTATAGCTCTGTGCCGGGATACACCTTTATCAGCTGTTTTGCACCTTTACCAGTTGTTTTTATTGCAGCATAACCTTCTCAGCCTACCTGAATCGGTTACCCTAGGGTCCTTGCTGAACAGGTGCAGCTGCCAGACAAGTAAGGAGCCAGATCCTGATGAGAATAAATGTTTTCATTGATAGGGGCAGAAGACACATGAAGATATAATCCTGCCCCTGAAGTTCAAGTAGTTTATGCATTCAAAGGGACATCAGTTCTTGTAGTGTGGGGAGCAAGGGGAGTCAACGTTTCTGACTGAGACAGCAAAAATGGACACAAGGATAGAACTGGGACTCCATCTCAGATCTTGGCTTTCATAAGTAAAGATGCCAGGTAACAACAAATGATTGCACTGGGTTATTATTAGTAACGCAGTTGGATGACTATTTATCTTCAAGTTTTGTGTTTCCTTGCTGAGATGCTAAAAAGGATTTCCATTGGGAAAATTAGTGCCACCAGACTAAAGAATTGAAATTCATATGTGTCAATATATTTATGTTTTTATATCTTTGATAAAAAAGTTCTTTAATTCCTTAAAGAAAACACAGTTACAAATTTTCTGTCTATAAGGAATAAAAAAACAAATGTTTTAATGACCATTGAAGAATTCTGGTTTTACTTTTAACAAAAAAGCTATCTTATAAAATAAGTATGATAATTAACAAAGCATGCTTTGCCTCCAAAAAGAGGATGTTGAGCTGGTCCATATACTTATGTAAGAAAGAAGCTATAAATCACATAGGCTAACAGAATCCTATCCAACTACTACTACTACCCTGATATGCAGATATGAAACCTAATCTTAGAGAGTTTAAGTAATCAGATCCATGAGACATAGGTAGAAATTATTTTTGCAAGACTTGTGCTCAGTTCTCATGACCAAATCCTGCTTCCTAAGTCAATTTCTCATACACATAGCAGCCTAGGTTACCAAGAAGCACGTAAGATTCCCTATTTGTAGAGTAGTTTTCTAGAAATAACTCCGCACTACATAATTTGATCAATGTAGAAGATACGTTTCTTGTAACAGATAAATTGGGTAAATGAGATTTTAGAGTGGCAGGCTTGGCCTCATCAGCCTTATTAAGAACTAGATGAGAAAATTTACAAGTGGTAGGCTTCCTTCAACAGGAAGTTAGAATTATTACTCAAAACGAAGGAAAAGGTGTTGAATTTCTGTGCCAAGAGACACACCTTGGATGAGTCAATACCACCTTGGATAACTTGTAAAGGAACATGATACATTTGGTTTAGGAGCCATTCAGGGATGCTTGAAAAGACAGAAATCAGCCAGCAGCAGTAGCAAACCTGTCTTTGACTTTTAAATCACACTGACAAAAGGCAACATCTACTGTGCTGCTGACTTTGCCTTTCTTCTCCTGTATTAGTTAACCCCAAAAGTGCAAATATAAACAAATTTAATCCCCAATGGTCCATCTGAACCAGGAGAAATCTGGAATTAATTGCCAAGTATTTGGGTTTCTGTTGCAGCTGTTACACGTGTTTGATTTGGCGAGGGAAGAGAAAAGGCACTGCATACCAATTTCATGAGCCACGGTGAAAGCTGCGTGGAGGCCATCATCTTCAATCACAGCACAGCTGCGCTCCGGAGAACATATGGTCCCAACGTCTGCCATTCCCAGTGTGTCACATGAATGATGCCCACATAAATCCTGCCCAGGAGAAAGAAAGAAAGAAATCGTTAAAACCAATTTACATACAGAAGGAGCCACCATGGAAAGCCACTTGCTCGCCCCAAATGGCAAGCCTGGAATATGTTTATAGTATCACCTGTTCAGCTTTGGAAATGTTTCAAAGGCAAGCCTAAGGCAGCTACTATTCTGAGAAAGTGTGGGCCCCAAATCCTGGAAAGATAACAGAACTCAATTGAATGGAAAAGATGTTTTAGGAACAAAGCTTATTTGCAATAGCAGCCACAGCCTAAAAAAAAGTTGAGATATATATATATATAGATAGATAGATAGATAGATAGATAGAGAGAGAGAGATTCATATATATTGCCATACTTAGCAAATTCCTTACATTTTGTCCAAATTCATGCTGAATTCATCAGAAGCCAAATCTAAAAATTTATTTCTTTCACAGAGGTAAACTGCAACAACACATTTGCAACAGAATATGTATATATCGGTTACTTTGACAGAAAACTGAATTTTAATGCAGAACTGTAATTCTTCAGAGGATCATTTCCTAATTTCCAAATAAAGTTCTAATTTCATAGGTTTCATCTTAGGCATGTATACACTCTCGTTAATAATCTTTACTATAGTATTTCTAATGCTCATTAATCTTCAAAAACTCTATGAAATACATTATGGAGTGATTACATGTATTTTTCTGGTGAGAAGTTGTGCTGCTGTTATGGCTATCTTAAAAGGGAACATTATCTCACCCCACTAACAAAAAAAATTGATCAATTTATACAAAAGATCCACCAACAATCCTTAATATATAAAGTATGAAAAGAAAACCCAAGTCAAAGATTTGATGTAACAGATGCTTAACGTAATCTTTCCCTTTAATTGCTACTAGGGCATTAAATAATAATGGGATTTCTTGGGCTCTTTGTTTTTTTTCAATGAAAATCAACTAACAATGTGTTCAATTATAGCCAAATAGCAAGATAATAAGCCAAGTGGTAAGCATGTTAATAAATGCAGAAGAAAAACACTAACAGCAAAACATGAATTAATATGAAAGAAACCTGTAGCTGTTGAAATAATAAGTACTATTTCTATTACAATTTTCTTTGTATCTCCAATGACTGCAATGTCTAGTTTATCCTGGGGGTGTAACATGTACGTAACTGAAGTGAATGCAGATTGTCCTTAAACTGACAAGTGCATGATGATACACACAGTGTCATAAAGCCATTGATTCGTCAACGCCTTCCCTGGTTTGCTGCACAAAAATCCTACTCAGGTGAATATTTTTTAAAAAAGATATGCCCTATTCTCTTCCCTTTACTAATTTTAAGGTCTTTATTATGTTCTATGTACTTTGATTTCCCAGCTGTGATGAATTACAGTACGGCCACTGTGTTATTGTAGCTTCAGACACTGGAAATCTCAGCCAAGTTGCCTGGAGAACTAAGGCACCAAACCCACAATGGCCTTCCAAAGTCTCCTGCATATCCTCATATGTCATCCCATGGGATCCCAAATTACAGCCGTTGAGAACAAATTAGTAGTTTTTAAAATTGAAATTGGAATATTCTTTTGCATAATAATCAGTCTTTGAGATAATAATATAGCCCGATACATTTTTCATTTCTCCTGCCTCTTCCAACAAAATCTTAGTAGTTCTAGGATTAAAACCCAAGTTACTAGGTACCATATCTTCTGAACACATATATTTTTAAGACAATTATCTTCACAATCTAGAGCTAATTGTCTTCAAGTAATGTAATCTGAGTCTTAACTTTTTACTTCTTATTCCTTACCTCACTAATAAGTTTGGAGAAACACCCACAACAGAAGGAAATGGCCCTCTTGTTTTGAATAGTGTTTAAACTGAAATCTGAAAATCTGCTTACTGTTCATCAGTTGCTCTTTAGCATCATCATCTTGAGTTATATTAGATCTGTTTGTCCCTTCACCATAAAATTGTGCACATGTGACCAGATTCTAAATAGAAGCACTGATATTTTTCTAAATACACTGACAAAACCTTTTGACAGAATAATCAATATCTCCACATATCTGCAGATATAATAACACAAACTGGCAACCTTTCTATTTCAATCACATGATTTCAATATTTAGCAGTATAATGACACTTTAAAATCTGCAATGGGCCTCTAAATTTCTGATTCAATTTTTGTCTCATTGCATTAAAACTATGTTTCACATTATTACAATTGCAGCATGTCACATTCATATCTATTTTTTTTTGGTGACAATGTATAACACATTTATAGATACAAATCTTACTGACGTATGTAGGATTTTAAAAAATCAGATTACGCGTAAGAATATTTTGAGTCAATAATAGGTACAGGATAGATGCGAAGATGAAAGAGAGAGACAGAGGGAGAGGAACAAAGATTTTAAATGAGATACTGGATTACTGACCACATGTGGATCTCATACAGCATTTACATAATAGAAGAATTGAAAGTGGTGCTGACAATAATTTATTGCTTGTATAAGGTGAATCTGAAAGCAATTATGCCTTTGTAATAATTGAAGGTGGTTCTTTTCATGCAAGATCAGTATTTTGTTACCATTGTGTAAATAGCAACGTAATGAAAGATTCAGTAAGATGTTAACAGTTGGAGGAGTATGCAGAGATTTAAGCATTGGTCCTAAGGCACGGTGTTGGTCAGGACACAAGACTTAGACATATACCTAACCAAAATGTCATGACAGATTGACCTTGAGCCCAGCAGTTAGTCGTCAGCTAGGATGCCCTCTCTCACATTGACATGCCTGAGTTTGACTCCTGCTTCCCTCTCCTCACTCTCCAGCTTCTTGATATTACTAACTTTGCGCAGCAAGGGTGAGATGACAGTGAAAGTAGCTGACTTTCTGCCATCCACAAGAAAGCTCGGGATAGCGTTTTAGGCTCTTAGCTTCGGCCAGACTCAGATTCAATCCCAGTTATTATGTGGGAATTTAGGGGAGTGCATGAGCATGGTAGTGTTCTCTCTCTACCCTCCGAACATCCCTTCCTCTTCTGTCTTCCTGCTCCTTGTGTGGCTGTCTCCATGCATGTTGTCTTGTCTCACAAAAAAATAACTAACATAAAGTATGGAGATAGTCTGCGAGATCATTGAAGATTTGATAGGAACGTTATTGTTATTATGACTATTTACCATAAGTGAACTTTTAGAAGAATATGGATATGACAAGATGTGTGATTTGTCATGGAGTCCAGAATTATGAAAGGCTCATCTCTGGTGCAGCAATGTATGCTGCCTGGAGAAGCACGTGTGCAGAAGGTAGTGCTACACCACAAGCCATCGTCCTCAGTGCCAGGTAGAGTAAATTAAACAAATAGGCAAGAATAATACTCAACATAGGATATACAACAGGAGTTGCAGCACTTCTTGTCTTGACCCAGAGATCTGTCTCCTGGCAGTGTAAGTATGCCTAGGAAGCAAAGAAGTACAAGGAACAGACACTCACGAAGATGGAAGATAGTGCAATCCCAACTGCGGAAATACTAGTAAAGTTAAGAATGAAGAGTTAAGGTACAGTGGTTTCTTGATGAGAACAAGCAAGAAGCTTAAGTGAAGGGCTAAATTAGGATTTCGGTTGGCATAAAATATCTGCCTAGTTGCCTGGATAATTCTTAGTGAAGGGTTTCCTGATAGAAGAACCCATCTGGCACTGTATATCTTTTAGTTTTAAGTATTTTACTCACACACATCCTTATATATTTATTCTCTATTTGACTTCCTGTGCAGTAATCATGGCAGTCTTGACTGTTGCACTTCAGCAGAGACTGCACGAATTAGAACCATTAGGTCAACCGACAGAATGACTCAAGTAGTGAGAGATTGTCAGTATGCATAGAAATGCTTACTATGTGTGAAGTATACAGATATTTCGGAAAACTTTTACATCAAAATTTATTTATTTTTGAATCAATTCTCCCATGATGTTCAAAAATACTCTCACAAATGGCTTTTATTCATGCTTCTGAATTCAAACTAGATGATATAAGTATATAGAGGTGTGCTAGACTATAGAATGAAGAAATTCAGGTGTACTTACTGTTAGAACTATTATTTTATGCCTACAATATGCCAAATACAGTGGTAAATTCTGGCACTGCAGAAAACAAATGGAATAAGTTCTCATCCTGACATCTAAGAAACATCATGATTTAGCATGCAAAATAGGCATGTTGAGAAAGAAACAAATTGTGACAAGCTCTTGTGAACAAATCATTGATGGAGCATAGCAGAGGGAGTGATGAACTTATATTAAACACACGTATACACATAGTGGTCACATTTCACATATTTCACAATACAGAGTTAAGAGCTTAGTGACGCTTTCCACTCTACCCTCGCTCCTATCTATGCTGATCAACTCTTTTTAAGGGAACTAAGAAAAATGTCAGGGGAAGTGTTGATACGAAAGTCTGGCAGGAATGAGAACTGTTTCTTTCTTTTTTTTCCCCTCAAAGGTTCATTTATTTTGGGAAGAAGGGAGGGAGGGAGGGAGGAAAAAAGGAAGGGAGGGAGAGAAAGAGAGGCACTGGTTTACTCCCCAGTGTCCAAAATGGTGGGGCTGTGGGGGCTGTTCCAAGCTCAGAACTTAAAGTGGCAGGGCCACATACTTGTCATTCTCTGATGTTTTTAAGGTACATTAGCAAGCTGCTGCATTGCAAGTAGAGCAGTCAGAACCCCACTCATATATGATGCCAATGGAGCAGACAGTGGCTTAACTCACTGCACCATCAGGCCAGCCCCAGAGAAATGGGAATTCAAATAGGAAAAACTAGAGGCAGAATGATGGAACAGTAAAAATCAGACTCTAGGGGAATGGTAATAAGTTAAAGAATTTGTTGGGTTGAAAGCAAGCTGGAATTTGTTTAGATACAGAGCTCCTCAAGATACAACAGTTTCTCTGAAAAAGTTAATGTGAGAAAAAAGGGATGCAATAAACTGGAGATTGAGAAGGAATGGTTGCTTATCACA